TTCATAGACAGAGCTCTATGCATTTGGTTTGCCATCATGTAGGGGTATGTATCAGGGCAAAGGAGACAGAAACAGGAGGCTGCCCTTTTCAAATCTTTAAAAACTGGTGTTCTGGTCATTTTTCTTCAACTTAACACAAACTAGAGTCACCTGGAGAAAGGGACCCTCAGTTGATGAATTGTCTCTATCAGATCAGCCTATGGGTGTGATTGAGAGAGCAGAAAAACTCTGTAGCCAGGAACCACTGACTACCATTGGAGCAATGACACGTCTCTCTCTCCCTCTTCCTCTCCCTCTCTTTCCCTCTCTCTCCCTCTCCCCCCTCTCTCTCTCACACACACACACACACACTCTCACACACACACATACTGTAGTTCTGTTAGCTGATACTTCAGCTACACATTTTTGCTTTTTTCTTTTTTAAATATTTATTTATTTACAATTTAGTCAAAGTGGTTTGTGGAAGTGCTAACATATGGAAAGTTATTATTCAGGATCTTGAGTTTCCGGGTTAACTGAGCCCCCTGACATTTCCCAGACACAAAGGGCACCCCCACTCAGTCAGCGTAAACTGTGATCTCAGGACACCTTACCACAGGAGCTCTTTGGACCCGGTCCTCGATGAGCAAGACTTCCTTTCTGCCAGGAGATGGCCCTTGCTTGTTCGATCCCCATGGAGCTTGACATCATCCCATTTTTCCAGTTGTGTTTGAATGTCTACTGAGGAAGAAGGAAGTGGAAGAGAAAGCCCAGGGCCAAGCATGAGGGAGCACATAGAAAAGAGATCGGTTAGGAGACCCTGGGCCAACATTTATTTTCTTAAGGGTGCATGAAAATGAATTAAATCATAGGCAGCTAAAGGAGACAAGGCTTATTAAGATAAACTGGGTTGTGTTTCCAGTTGAAGCACTCAAGTAAAATTAATTTCGAAAGCTAGTTTTATGAATCTATATGTATTTGCCTGACATACAGATGCATGCACACACATGCAAATGAACACACACATGCACATACACAGGCACACACACACGTGTGCGTGCATGCTTGATTTTCTCTTGATTTCCTGGTTGTACCAACTGAAGGCCTTAACTGTCCTTTCGTAGGAGGAATGTTGAGTGTGCTGAAAAAAGTTGCGCTTGGGAGTTGACTAGGGCCAGGTGTGCATTTCCAGCTCTTTCTCTTACTAGCTGTAAGATCTTGGATAAGTTAAATTTTAAACCCCATTTTCACAGACTTCAGAGTTTTAATAACAAGACTAACCATGTAGGTGATTCAGTGTAGTTCCTGGCTATGGCATCCAGCAGTGAGGGGAATTACCAGCTATCATCATCATCCTGGATATTATCTTAGGAATGTTTTATCTGGATGTCCCCAAGTCCTGTGCTGCTCTTAATTGTCCCCGTTGTTTCTCTCTTGCTCTAAACTGAGAATTCCTAGAGAGCAGGGTCCGCATTTTCCTGTAATTTCAGCTCCTGGTCCTAGAGAGATGCCTGGCATCCATGACAAGCTCAGCCCATTGGGAGGAACACATACGTGAACGAATCAACATCACTTTTCTGAAGCAGAGCCCCCACGGCTACTCAGTCCAAGCATAAAAGAGGCTACCCCCTTTCCAGTTCCCAGAACTTTATCTTTTCCATTCCCATGTTTACTCTTTGAAAGTTATCCTGAACTTGACTGTCACATCGGAGCTGACAAGACAAGCCACAGCAGCTGCAAACCTTCGCCTTACCTAAGTCTAAGGATGACGTCTCTGGGCCCCGCAGAGCCTGGGCCCTCTGCTCGCTGTCCCCACTGATGAGGTCAGAGCCATCGGCTTTCTTCTTAAGGGATGAGCTCTTTGACGAGGACTCTGATTTCTTGCCTTTGGTTTGGGTTTGAGAGACAGGTTCACTCAGGTCCAGGAGATCCAAGCCAGTGGTCAACACTATGGAAGACAGAAGGTCAGAGAAGCCCATTTACTTCCTGTAGTTATTATTATTTATCTATTTATTTTTGTATGTATATATGTATGTATGTATGTATGCATGCTCAAGGGTGTGTGTGTGTGTGTGTGTGTCTGTTTGTAGGTCAGAGATAACTTTAGGTGTTGTGCTTAGGTGTTGTCTGCTTTGTTTCTTGAGACAATGTCTTTCACCGGCCTGGAACTGACAAGTATGTTAGTCTGGCTAGCCTTTGAGTCCTCAAGATCTGCCTGTCTCTGCCTTCCCAGGGCTAGAGTCAAACCACTATGCCCCTTCCTCTTTCCTTTCCTTTCCTTTCCTTTCCTTTCCTTTCCTTTCCTTTCCTTTCCTTTCCTTTCCTTTCCTTTTCTTTTCTTTCCTTTTCTTTCTGTAAGCATAGTTTCTGAGGATGGAACTCAGAGCTTTGTCCTTACAAGCCAACCACTCTACCATCTGAGGTACCTCTTCAGCCCTCAGTAGTCTTGTGTGTCAGTTGGTTGCATAGAGCCCCTATGTTGACAGGAAGAATTAGAGTCAGCAACTCAAGCCTCTCATCATTGACAGCTGGAAGGGCTGTGAGGCTGGGAAGCTGGCCGTGTGTCCCTTAGGCCAACACCAGGCAAACCTCACCTAGACCCACCTCGGCAGTGAGAAAGTTTAGGACGAAAATAAAACAAATCTCCATTTAGGTGCAGTAGCTCTATTCTGATTAATTTCTAGGGAAGGTTTGCTTGATTATGGTTTTTCCAGAAAAGGGACAATGCACACAGACTTCATGAAGTCTAATGTAATCGTTTACTGAATTAGGCAGTTCAGTTGGAAAATCACATGCTGCCCGGGGCTCACTAGAGATGGGTTATATAATGTGGTTGGTGAGCAGGAACACGTGCTAACTTCTTGACATTTACTATGCCAATTTTTATTTCAGCACAACCAGCTCTAAACTGGTTACACTTTTACTTCCTAGTAGGTTGATTTCAATGAAGGCAGAAATAATAATAGCATGTTCCTTTGCAAAACCAGAATGAATAAGGTCAGCTTTGAACCTGTTCTTTTTTCCAGTATAGGCAACTTGTTTTTAACTAGCCCTTCCTGAGAAATGGAACAGAAAGGAGACACAGTTCCTTCCTCCAGCTCTTCCTCAGTTTGGGCTAGAAAGGTTGAGCACCCGCCTCATAAGCCAGTGCCTTCCCCAAACTCTTTCCTCCACTTTGGCAAGGCAAATGGGAGTAGAGCAGCCCCTTCGTTGATCTCTAGATCAATGCAGTCTAGAACAACCACTACAACACATTCCCCAATCACAAGTCGTCCTCTGGGTGGAGATCAGTCCCATCCCATCTGCTTCCCACTTGGTGGTCCCCTTGGCAGAGCCAGGGCTCCACGGAGCACACAAGGCCTGTTTCTTTAGTCACGCACAGCCTGCCTGAACATATACATGAGCTAGCCCTCCTCAGGGGAGTCTCTGGTGTGTGAGTCAAACTTGAGTCCCCAGTCACCACGTGTCTGATGTGCCTGGAGGGAAGTTTCCTGAGCAGCCTGAGCTCTGAGTTTCTGCATCTGAAAATGGAGAATCAATAGTCCCTTAGGAGGGTGGAATGGAGAATAGAAAGTGCCAGACCTATTCTAAGTCCTCGCTCAGTAAATACTATTTCAGGCAGAGGAGGGAACAGCATGGTTGTGGAGAGTTTGCCTGGCATTTATGAGCCCCTGGATTTATTCCTACCACTGTTCACACACACACAAACACACACACAGACACAAACACACACACAGACAAATATACATATATACACACAGAGAGACATAAACACACACATAAACACACACACAGACAAATACACATATATACACACAGAGAGACATAAACACACACATAAACACACACACAGACAAATACACATATATACACACAGAGAGACATAAACACACACATAAACACACACAGACACACACACAGACACAAACACTGACACACAGATACACACACAGGCACACACAAAGACACATAGACACACAGACACACGCTCAGACACATGCATACACTTTCTATTTTTGAAGGGCCAAATTGTAACAGATCCTTCTTTCTTATTTAGTGTTCTTGCTTTCTTGTTCTGTTCTGTTTCAAGCCACAATCAAATCTACACACACAGAAAAAGAGAAATGTTCCTGAGGACAAAACAAGAAGAGATAGGATTTTGTCTCCACAGAGGAGTCTATGAGGTGAATTTGTCACGAATGGCCTGAAGGGGTCATCTTGTCACTGAGTTTTCTCGAGAAGATGGGAACCACTTTCTAAGGGCTTGGGAAGGGGAGTCCGTGGTAAGTCAGAAGCAAAGTGGGTGGAAAGAGGCCCCTAGAACCAAGTCAGTTGGCTTCTGAGCCAAATTTAAGCCTGACAGGCAGCCAAGACAGGGCTCCATACACTTCCTGTTCACTGAGCGGTTCAATGAAACTTCTAGACACTATTGGAATGGCCCGGACTCTAGGCCAATGGGACTTCCTTATGATGGAAGGAATGCTCCCAACGCCTTTTCCATTGTACAAACATTTAAAACCTAGCCTCTTGCCCCTAGACTTCTTTTAGATGCATATTTTCATTGTGAACTTATAAAATTGAAAGTACCTTTGCTACAAAATAGTAGCTGGCGGGTTTTAATTTAATCTATGTTTCTGAATGAGTGAACGGAAAATTTAAACTGGCCAGTCACACCTGTCCACTCTGAAGCATCCTGGGCCCTTCCTGTGTTTGTCCTCCATGCTGTCATTGTTTTTTCTGTAAATATGAAGCTGGAGCCTAGCATAGGCAAAGGCCTTCCTTACTGCCCATTTACTGGGAGCAGTGTCTTAGAGAATGGCCTTGAAGCCGAGAGTCCCCTAGGATGACAACTTTAAAAGCAGAGAAGGTTGGGGTAGCCTCTGGAGTCGGGGGATCAGCGTGTTGTTATGTGTAGGGTGCAGGAGTTGAGGCTTAGAGTCAAGGGCTGGCAGCTCCTCCGGTGCTCCAAAGCGAGCAAGCCTGGGCGCAGGAGCTGGGTGTTTGTTGGCTTCTAGATTAAAGTGAAAACATTCTCCTAGGCACACGAAAGTTTGGGTCTCAGGGCTTTTGTGTGCAAAGTAAGAGTATAAGGATCATTGTGTGTGTCAGAGTGTGCATGTGTGTGCACACAAGTGCGAGGAAATACCTTCTAAGTGCTTTAGCTTCACATTGGCAGCCCTTTCTAACTGTTGGTCTAATGACTCGATCCCTCCCTACCGTCAGAAATCACAAGCAAGGTCCGCAGCTTCTCTTGTTGATCTCCGAGAAAGAACCTGCCCTGTGTTCTAACATACGTTAGAGTTATTAAATTACAACGCAGTATATTGCAAATTTTGTCATGCTACATGTATGGCAATCTAATCACTTAGATTAGATTGTTGTTCAGTGGCTTTCAGAACACTTGTTATCAGCCTGTGTATAGTATCCATGCATCTGCTTTTTTAAATAAAGGGTCTTGTTGAGTCTGAGGCTGAAGTCTGTAATCTCAGCTACTTGGGAAGTAGGTGGATCACCATTTTCTGTGAGTTCAAGGCCAGCCTGGATATTTTAGTGAGAATGTGTTTCAAGATATAAAAAAGGAAAAGGAAGATGGGGAAAACAGCTCAGTGTGTATGAGATTTGGGTTCAATTCCCAGTACAGAAAAAAATAATAGGTACATAATTATTTTCTATTATTAACAATAAATCTAAAGATATATTCTATTAAAATTTATTAGAGAAGAATTTTGCCACCTTGGAAAAATACTTCCTACATTGTTTACTTTGTATTGATTTTCATAAGAACCACATTCTTTAGGGATTTAAAAATATAGCGAGTTTTGCCTTGAGATATGTTTCTAAGCTTGTAAAACAAAGTGTCCAACATAAGATGGTTGGAAATCATTGTATGGCAGAAAAGATTCAGAATATTGCATTATGGATTGAATGGCGCTCCACCCCTTCCTTGTTCATAGGTAGAAGCCCCCGTACTTTGGAAAATGACCTTATTGGAAATGTGACTAAAGATGAGGCTGTTTGGAGGCCAGGACACAATCCCAGGACGACAGATGTCCTCATGTAAAAGGGAAATGAGACACGGGTAGGTGTGCAGACAGAGAGATCGATGCCATCTGCACACAGATAAAATCCCACTTGGAGTCACGTGTTACATCCGAGGAACCAATAGGAAGATTCAGAGGTGGTGACAATGTCTTCCCAAGAGCCTGCAGGAGTGTGTCTGGCCAGCACCTTGATCTGAGGCTTAGAGAGTGGTGACAGTTCTCTCAGCTTGTAGCAGGCCAGCAAACCCCAGGGGCCTCCTGTATCCACCTTCCAGTGCTGGGATTGTAAACACAGGGTTTTTAACCCAAGAGTTCTGGGGATCGAACTCTAGTTCTTTTGTCTAAACAGCTAGTGTTTACTGACTGAGCCACTTCCCAGTCCCCAGCGCTGGCTGTTTCAAAGGGGCTTAGTTTCTTCAATTGAAAAGTGACAATGAGCTTCCCCAGTGCATCTGATTCTTGTGGGATTGCCTGCGATTAAGAGCCCCCGGCTCTGTGTTTTCTGGGTTAGCTCTCCAGTTTCAGCCAGCTGAACCCCAGCTTCAGAGGTTAGTATAAATCGGATCTGATGGTTGAATTCATTTTAATGTCCTGTTTAGAATCCAGCCAGCACCGTTCTGTGTGCCTGAACACTCCAAGTGACAATTGGATTTAGAAAACAACTTGGGGATGACATTAAGTAACCAAGAAGGAGATTCAAAAATGCTATCACCTGAGTTGATCGGGCTCGACTTTACCACTGTCAGCACATCCATAGACGGCTTCCTTCCCTTCATCTCCTTGAGTAATTTACAAGGGAAAGATCGTGCTGTTTTTAGATATAGAGAGTGAGGCTCAGCTATTGCCACCAGATAGACAACAGAGAGCAGTAGCTGGCCCCACAGTATGGAGCTGGGAGGAGAATGTATGAGGTTAGATCTCCCAGACTTTTTTCTACCTGGGCTGCCGCTGGCCAGCATTAAGTTTCTCTCTATAGTAATTTACAGCATCCTTGAAAAAATCTCTTTTTTTTTTTCCTATCTGATTTTCTTCACTTAGGCTTCTAAGTGGTAAAAATGTAAGTCACTTGCCAGTGGAGGCCACTGTGGAAAAGTGGGACCAATGCAAGAAGGAAGTGTGAGATCAGGCTCTTCTCAGAATTGGCACCGCCCACCCACTCACTGTAATCTCTGGTTTCCCATCCTGAAACACCAGGCTTTCCTCACTCTTTGAAGAGCACACCTTTGAAAGGGAGTGCTGGCCCAACGAGGCAGAAGCGAAGAGAAGCCCTGCTGGAGGAATGTAGATCCTGCCGTCGGTCTGAGGTGGTCTTTCTGATAGTGATGAGTGCTCATCCCTACAGGCGCCAAGCAAGCGCTGAGCAGAAGAGGGTGTTCTGCTGAGAATGCTTAGTTCCAGGAAGGATTTGTGCAAGTCGGATGCTCAGGTCATTTATATATAGAGAGAGCAAGGACCACACTAAAATGGCCCCATAACATCCTGTGCCCACAGGGTATTTTAATTATCACTGACCTCTACTCAGAAAGAGTACCGCAACATTTTTATTTGGCTGGACTTTTGCTTCAGAAAATATTTTCAAAAATAATTGGACCATCAGGCTGAAGTTGCAAAATCTCCCTCTGAGATGGCAGCTTTCCTTTATAGCATGGTGGGTTTCTGAGAGGCAGGGTGGTAAACGCAGAGGCGTGTGCACCAAAAGCTGAGTGAGAACTGTAACATACTGAAGGCCAGCGAAGCCGACTGGGTAATATACAGTGTGGTTTCCTGGGTAATCAAAAGTCATTTATTAATTTATATGCTTGATTGTATACAGGTCAGTCACTTGATTGCAAACATCATCCCCTACTTAAAAGGCCTGGAGGCAGGGATGGTGAGAGGGCTCAGTAGATAAAGGCGCTTGCTGCCAATGCTGACAATCTGAGTTCAATCCCTGCGGCCCACACGGTGGAAAAGAGACATCTCTCTGAGCTCTACTATGCCCTGCATAGGTCTGTTTCAATATGCAAATGTCCACACCCACAAATAAATAAACATACCTCCCCACTTCTTTAGAAAAACGCCTGGAGGAAAAATACAAACATCTCTGAGTAAAGCACACCCCACTGGAGCATAGTTAGAAGTGAATTACCGGCTGTGTTGGACGTTACTGGTTTTGCAATGGCCTCAGATTTGGTTTCACAGAGGAAGTCATCGATGGAGGGGCTCAGAAGAGGTCTGCTTTCTTGTTGCTCATTCACCAGCTGAGAACAAATGAACACAGGCATCAAAGGGCTTCTCTGCTGAACTGCGGAAGCATTTGAATGAAAACACAGCCCTGCAACACAAGAGGACAAGCAAGCCCTACCGAAATCAACACAAACGGAAATAAAATAGTGGGGTGGGCCAATAGAGAAAACAAAACATCACCACAGGCTGGGGATGAGCCTTCAGCACTGTTAATATATGTTTGGTGCAGCCAACTTTAGTGTTAAAGTTAAAGCCTGTTTCTCTCCCTCCTGGAGGGGCTTTAGAGTCACCTGATTCCAGCACACGAGAAAAGACACCTGGTCCATCATAGGTGCTACGGGCTCACGCCACTCTCTATCTGGACTAAAAGTCCTAGAAATCATTGGAACAGGGGCTTCAGATTCCATGGTGATGGACTCTCATGAGGACTAGCTACTTGGTGTCGGTGGGACCTCTGCCGTTGGTTAGGTGAACACCACTTTTCTTCCTTTCTTAAAAGCTCAAGGTACCTAGAGCCAACCCCCATTTCCTTAGCATGGTTTTGGAGAACATAAATATTATTTGAGATAAGAAAATATTATTGCATAACCTGTCTAGGCATGTAGTAGGTGTATGTGAAAACCTTTAGTCTATGGGAATAGATTCCTATAAGCTAATTAATTAATTAATAATTTTTCCATTAATTAATTCTAGAATTTAATAATTTGTTAGACTTAAAATTCTAACTGAAAACTGTTTTAGTGTGTTCCTAATTACTGGTAGTGGCCAGTTATTTACTGCTTCACTTTGAATCCACACTTTCTATAGTTAAGAGAAAACACACAGACGCAAGTAGTTAATCACTAACTTGGGTGTCTTGGTTTCCTGGGAGAAGCACAGCTGTTTGGCTCTACTCGTGGTCAAGAAAAGATGCGCCTCAAAGTTACTAGAATTTTAATAACTAACCTGTCAAGGTTTTACTATTTTTTTTTTAAAAAGAAACATAAATTAAGAAACAACAGACTTTGGAGTACTGCCAGTCGGAATACAGAACTCCATTCATTGTCATGTCATTGTGTCTCTGGTTCAATGTCAACAAAGTAGTTCATGGTCATCAGAGACTGGACACCCAAGCACACAGTTGTTGCTACAGTGCATCAAACCTCAGGTCTCCGTTAGAGCTTTTCATGGAGAATTAAACATTTGATTTTCCTATGTATTTGTGGATATTAGTGAGGGATACCTTAGAGATCACCCTTCTTTAGTGTTTAAGTTACCGCCATTAGTCTTCAGTTAGTGATAGTTTTAATATTACTACATACAAAGACATGTTTTACTGGGAATCATAGTTCCTAAGGTGGGGTGGGTTTTGGCTTTTTATTTTGTCTGTTTGTTTTAAAAGATGTTCCTTTAGTCTATAACTGAAATTCTGATCCCATTGCTTTTGTTTTCTGTTTTGCTTTTTGTTTTCCTCTTGGCTATTGCCCATGCTGTTTATTTTGAAATAGCTTTATGTCTTAAGTGTCTGTGAGCTCCCTGAAGTTTCTAGGTAAGACATTTGAGTTGTTAAGAATGCTGTGGATAAATCAAGCTTAGGAATTAGTCTAAATATTTTCTGGCATATAAGTCCATTTTAGGATGTGAAGATGAACTTGAAATCATTGGCAAGGCAAGTAAAATGACAGAAAATGACAAAATGACCAACCCCCGGTGGTTCTGCGTCCAGATCTGCTTCTCACATGGGCAGTTTGTGTACCACTTTGTGCGGGGGGATACTTTCTAGGATCCAGCCATCATGTGGGGTGTAGTAATGACATTTGCTCTTTGAACCCTCAGTAATTAATGAAATGAACCTTCCCCGTGGAATGTGGTGTGGATTCCACAGTGCCAAGATTTCTGAGGCTGATGGTCACCATCAAACACGGCACTGCACTATCCTCTAACAGGCCTGTGCTCACCAAGCCGCCCTCTGGCTCTGCTGGCGAACATGTAGGAGACATAACACAACTGTGACTTTAAAAGTCTAAATATTTACATATGATGCCACAGCTCTCTCTTTGATAATCAGGACTTATCTAAAGAAAGTCTAATTTCACAAACAGGCAACTATGTATAACTAAATTCTCTTTATGTTGATTTAAAAAAATACGGGCTATTTCTTCACTAACATTTTGATTTGGAGGAGAATTTAGATAAGTGTTTGGTCTGAAATGTCTGTGAACACATAAGGGCTGACTTAGGGACAGGACCTTCGTCTAAACACAAAGCTCAAGTGTATTTCATACACACCTTGCACACATGCTTGAAGGTAAGTCTATGTAATAAGTTTTGTGTGTCTGCCTCTCTTTTGGCTGCCACCTCTAAAGCCAGAGGCTTGCACTCATAGCTTCATACTGGAACTTAAAAAGTTTTGGATCTGATTTCAGAATAGGAATGCTAAACCTGTATCAACTTTAGTATAGATAAACACAAGTTAAATTACAAGCAACATTCCCTGGTCCTCCCTTTTCCAAAAACAATGAAGGGCTCAGGATTTATCCCTGGATCCCGATTCTGTGTACATGGTTGCAGAACAGGCCTGAGTTTCTACAGCTTAGGATATGGGGATATTCAACTTCTGTAGGTACTCTTAGTTCTTAATGCTGAAAAATCACCCTGTATTATTTGGCGAATTCCAGAGAAACTATTGTTTGTATCAACATCTACATGGGAGAAACGAGTGAAAGGCACTATCGAGTAAGGGCTTTCTTCAGGGCAGCATGCTTGTCAAAGGCAAGAGGATTTTGTTGGTGTTGCGGAGTCACTCATTCCAATTTCAGATGGAGTCCCCGAAGGAAGGAAGAGTCAATAGCCCTCTCAGTCACTGCACACCAAAGGAATGGGAACCAGGGGACAGTGTCTCAGAAAGATCCCAATAAATCCAGGACAGAGTCATGTCTCTCCAGTCTTCTAGCCCCTGCCTCTGCAAGGCTGGTGTCTCTTCGGTGTCCAGTGTCCTGTTTCTGACCAGTGCTGACTCCAGAACTGATGGAAGCATGTGATGGTCATGTCATATCCCTATGTCATTCTTGACGTTTCACTCCAGAGACACAAAACAAGAGGGCACCGTCAACAGCCTTTAGAGTTAGCGTTTCTCAGCCTGGACTAGTGTGGTGGTGCCCTGCTGCAGTGGGATGAGGCGAGGCTTCCAGGTGAAGAAGAGGAAAGGCCAGATGACAGTGAGCATGAAAGCCGTTCAAGTGAGTCAGAAAGAGCTTGGGCTTGGATGGAGAGGCTGACAATGAGGAAAGAGACATCATGAAGACAAAGGATAATCCCCTTACAGGGTCTGAAGTTAGACACAGCCATGGCTCATCCGTTCTAGCCTTTACAGCTTCTAATAGGGAAAGTTCATGCAGAAGGAATTCAAGAAATGGCTGACAAACGAGACAATGGCTTGCTAAAAACTTAAGGCACAATAATGTGTATTTTGCACACTCTGATTAAATGGATCGAACATTGTTTTAGTCATGGCAGTGGTATTTTTTAAATGTGTAGACAGGATCAGCTTTCCCCATCCCTCCTTCTCTTTCTTAACAGGTGGACTGTTTTTCTCGTGGTGATCTAAGAATAAATGAAAATTTCAGGTTCTAGAGCAAAGGTTAAAGTTGAATGGAATCCTCAAGCCATCCTGCTAAACTTTACTTTCAAATTGTGTGCTGTGGATTCCTTCCTCATTCATTTGCAGGATGAAGCTCATTGGCATTTAGATTTACTTCTGTTCACTTGAAATCACTTTATCGATTTCCGTCACTTAAAACTTTGGGTACAGAGCATATTGGTGTTATTAAAATGTGAATCAAAGGTTTCTAATTCTTTGCTAATAATGGAGTCAGGGAGTGCAGTTTTGAGATGAGCTCCTTAGATTAATCAAATTATCAGAGCTGACTTTCAAAGGCCCGCTTCATTGGGTGAGGGGTTTTGTCTTAGTCTGGTCACATCTTTCCATTTCTGTTTCTTCTCTGACTGTGGCCTCTGCTCAATGCTTGCGTCCGCTCAAAGGTCGTTGGGAATCTAGCTCATGAGAGAATATGTGTTTAGCATGTGCAAGGTTCTAGTTTCAATCAAAGCACATGAAAAACAAGCCCCATGATGGTAATGGATGCTTACTTGTCTTTCACACCACCCCTACAAAAGCACACCTTGATGGAGCCCTACAACAACACACCCCTACAATGGTACACCTGATGGCACCCCTACAATGGCACACTTTGATGACTTCCCTACAATGGCACACCTTAACCTTCTTCAGTGGAGGGGAGTGAGCACCTTTGGAATGACCTCCTCATCCGTGCTTATGTAGTACTACTATCTTAGTTTTAATGTTTTTCTTCTCACTAGACTAGAACTGTCATGGCATTAGAGAGTTTATTACATCTTTTTTTTGCATCCTATAGTAATGGTTTAGTATATATTGAGCAGCTTTATGTAGTGAAACTGGCTGACTGTACAACAGAATGATCGCGAGGGTGTCCTGGACCTCATACCGAATTCTAGCAGCCCATGGCGAGATTAGTGGTCTTTCAAAATGCTTAGCGACTTCCTAGAACACTCTATCCCAGACATCCAGGTCCATTTCCTTCCAGGGTTGTGTCTTTTAGATGGGGAATATGGGGGCGCCTAAGCAGCATTTTGTGATGCTATCGAGGCTGTTAGTTTTCTACCAAGAGGGAAGAACGCCACGAATTAACATCTAAAGCAGTGGGCATGCACTCAGGCTTGTGCTCGACCGACCCCACCAGCACTGGCAGGAAGGACTGGACACAGGTGAATGGCAGGGCAGAATCACCACGAGACACAACCTCCTCACCTCATTTTTTATTTTCAATCAGAAACCTGCATCTGGAGAGTCTGAGGGAAAATACTTCTGAAGACGCAGAAACGGGGGCGGGGGTAGAGAAGAAAGTAGGTGAGTAGGTAGATTTACACGAAGGGCTTCCTTATCAATCAGGATTCAAAGGACAATTGAGCCTTTATATTTTATTGTCAATCAAAT